GTATATTATTTATAATTATATAACTTTATATATGTATATAATACAAACCGGATTATGAAACTATTACATTATTTCGTTATTTCGTTTTTTATTTATTTCGTTATGTTATAATAAATAAACAGCGATGTAATGACATTCATTGCACGTTATATAACAATTGTTTCGTTGATATTGAATTAGTACTACCATAATTTAAATTTCTAATGTCGCGAGAAGCTCTATGCCGAGCTTCGAACTGTCGAGCGCGACAAAGCGCAACACCCGTGACAATTTACTTGAATCATGAGAATTTATGGATGAGTATTATTTGTGCTATAAAAGAATATTACTAATTCAGTCGCTTGCATTACAAAATATATCAGTGCACTAAAAGTTATTCTGGAATTAATGAAGTTAAATAATGTAAAAGTTATTGTTGAGTTTAATCTCCACATCTTCGATGTTGATTAAGTTCATTCGACGCGTTTTTGCATGAAATGAACGAATTTGATAAATAAAGTATCGCTCTGCCCCGTAATGAACCGAGATATTAATCATTATATAGTCAAGACTATTCAGATTAAGAAATCTTTCACATCGATGGCATAAAAATACTCATGTCTATTTCTATGCCATCGATGTGAAAGATTATAGCCACTTACATGTTATAATAAGTATTATTTGTTTCAATATTGCACAAATTCTTTGCAAAATGGTTGGATATAACAGAATAATAATAATCAAGCACGATAAAGAAAAATTGTGTTTTTAAAGCAGAGAATTTATTTTTAAAATAAAAAATTTATAAATATAAATTAATTCCTTAATGATACAAAATAGTTGGATATAACACAGCAATAAGAGTCAACCACGGTAATTCTTGTGCAAATACAGTTAATAAAACAACTTTATCAATAATTAATCCGCTGTAAGCGGATAAATATAATAAAGCGGATAAAGTTATTTTGTTAACCATAATTATCCAACTATTTTATATCATTAAGGAATTAATTTATATTTATAAATTTTTTGTTTTAAAAATAAATTCTCTGCTTTAAAAACACAATTTTTGTGATTTAAAAATATAAATTCTCTGTTTTAAAAATCCTGGGAGCAAAGTCTGCGGAAAATTTTGAGCAAGGCTTGCTACCAATTTTTTATTGCAGAAAGGCAATAAATTGTATTTAATGTTTGTATTATTTGATATTAGCTGCGTTCAACAGACTCAACAATTGAGCGCTAGGTGTTATTAACGTATTCTTCCAGATTTAAAATGCTAATTGGATGATCTGAAAGAATACATCAATAATAGCAAATGCTCTGTTAAACACTGACACAACTTTTGAGTCGCATTGTCAGCAAATTATTGTCAGAAATATGACAAAACCTTCTAGACATGCTTTTCTAGCAGATTCGTAACAGAAAATGAACAAAATCCTGCATAAGTCCTGCACCTGACGACAGATTAAAAGATCTTAAAGCAAACTCTGCTTGATTTCTGCCACCAATTTACTAGCATAGTTTATCAGGCTTTAATGACAAATCCATAGCCAAAGGTGAACATAGATGGTTATAATTTCGTAATCAAAATCTAATCGAGTTTGCTGCAAATTTGGTCTCAAATTGACTATTGTTTTGCTATCAGAAGACATATACGATTATTTTCTATATAATTTTTGTTTTTACAGCAGAGAATTTGTTTTTAGAGGTATTTGTCTGCTTTAAAAACAAAGTCTCTGCTTTAAAAATAAAAATTATGTAGAAAATAATTTGTATTTTAAAGCAGAGAATTTGTATTTTTAAAATAGAGAATTTTTTTTAAGTAAAAAATTTGTATTTATAAAGCAGAGTCTGAAAGAATTTATTTGATCCTCAATGCCATCGATGTGAGAAATTTCCTCACCTAAATATCTATCAACTTCAACAAGTAATATCTCAATTTGCAAAACAGAGCGATACATTTTTCTGATTCATTTCATGCAAAAACGCGATGAATGAATCTAATTTTATCAACATTGGAAGTGAGGAGGCTAAACTTAACAATTATCATAAAAGTATAATATATGAATATTACAATTGAATACTTCGAATATTCAGAAATGATATTTATAAATTTGCATATATTTATGTGCAAACTATAACGTTTATAAATAAATGAATTAAAATCAATTATATTACATATGTCTTTTATATCGCAAAAACAATTTTCAGGAAATGTATTTTGTACATACTAATCCCAGAGAAAATCTTTGAATTAATTCTAAACGAAAGCAAGTTTGTTTTTGCTTTAGAATTAATTTTAAGATCTTTTCTGGGAAGAATATGTGCAAAAAGCATTAAATAAATTTAGAATAATGTATAGCAACATAACAGTTACATTCTAGTTTTATAACAATAACGCAGCAAATTATAAAACTATTATATGATTATTATATAATATCTCAAGTTACATGTTATATTATATAACTGCAATTCAAGAGTGGGAAATTACAACTAACATGGACGTAGAATGTTATGCATTTGTTATACAAAATTTTGTATGGAAGCAATATAATAGATACATATTTATGTTTGTTGGGTTGTCTTTATAATGTTCTTGACTTTAGATAAACTTCTCGATCGTAGAAAAGCAATATGACGACACTTTTTCACCATGTAACAAATTAATCATCAAATAATAAAACAGGAGTTTGTTTTTTTTAAAACAGTATCTGAAGGATTGTAACAGTATCTGAAGGATTGTAACTCACACACTTGATTGATGGCAGAGTCGACACAAGAATGATTTACGAAGAATAATTTTTGAACGATTCTATCGGTTTATTGTTATTAATTAGTACAAGTTAATTATTCAATTCGAAATCAGGATAAATGTTAAGAAGGACCGACTTCAAATTTTGATAATAATACACTAAATCTATGCGTTTTTGTGTAAAGAATTTACAAGAAGAAAGTGTCGCTTTCTCCACGAATATATTAAGCATTAAAGTTAACGTCTATTCAGGTATTAGGAAATCTCCTTCACAGCAAACACAAATATATAACTATTACATTGCTTTCATATTCAATGGAACATAACAGATAATATAACATGTGCATAACATTCTATTATATTGCTATACATTTATTCTAACTTAATTTAATGTTTTTTGCACATACTATTCCCAGAAAAGATCTTGGAATTAATTCTAAAGCAAAAACAAACGGAATAGTTTATTGTCGTTTAAAATTAATTCCAAGACCTTTTCTGAGATTAGTATGTGCAAAATACATTTCTTGAAAATTGTTTTAATATAAAAAACAATATGTAATAATATATAATAATAATTGATTTTAATTCATTTATTTATAAACATCATAGTTTGCACATAAATACATATATATTTACAAATATGATTACTGAGTATTTAAAGTATTTAATATATTCATATATCAGGAGATGTGGTAGTGTCTTCGGCCATATTTAAAAAAAAAATAAAAGACATAAAGACACTACAAGTCTCTTATCCCGAGTCACCAAAGTCCATTTTCTGATACAGAGCTACTAAAATATAAAAAATTTTCGCATCGTAACATATCCTGAAAGGCGGCATCGCCACGAACAATTTGAACCAAAAGAAATAAAAATCGGTCAAGCCGTTCTGAACATGCAAGCGAAAAGTGATGATTTTCGTGAAAAATGAGTCTTCTTCTCTTCTTCTTCTTCTCTGCCCGCAATCACCTCTCTTCTCTCTTACTTTTTACTTATATCTTCCCCAACTTCGACCAATTCTCCTTCCCCCTCCATTCCTCCTTCCCCACCCCTCTCTTTTTCGCTCTATCTCATTCTCTTTCGTCCTCTCTCATTTTTGTCTGCTGAAAGTGTCCAATGATCACTCATGGTCTTGACCTTGACCAGTGAGTTAAGGTTGTATTAATTTTTTTGTAGAATTTCGTAACGCATAATGAGTGACTACTACAATTTTTTCCGAATTTTCCGAAAGTTGCTGATCTTTATAATGTGTGGGAGAGTCAGAGTCATCGGAGGTGAATGGTCCATTAATTTTAATAGCATTCTTAATGGGCAACGATCGCCTGTTGTCCGATGATCATTCAGAGTCGTGACTTTAACAATATTAGTCATTTTAATTTTTTTGGATAGTTTTGTAATGCGTGATGAATGATTGCTACAATTTTCCGAAGATTGTTTGATATGATGATCTTCATGTGTGGAAGGGTCATTAGAAATGAATTGTCCTTCGATGATCACTAAGAGTCATTACCATTATTATACAATATACAATATGTTAGCGTCATCGGAGTTGAATTCCCTA